TACAGCGTCCTCCATCGAGAATTGTTAATTATCGTCTTTATTTCTTCGCTAACGAACTAACGGCTGTAGTATGAAGAAAAAGTCAATGAAATTATAGTTCAATGAAATTATGCTTATTAGTTTTGTCAGAGCGCGTTTGCTAATGAACTTGTTAGAAATTTTTGTAAAAAATTCAAATGAGTCGTAAAAATTTATGAACATTTGGATATATTTTAAATGTTAGGAAAAAGATGTCGAGATGTTGCACGTATAAGCACTCTTATGGATTAATTACCAATAGAGAAATGTTATGAAGCGGTCAGTAACAGTGTTCTGTGAAGATCTTGGAAAATTTATTCAGTGTAAGTTCGAGCGTAAGGAATTCGTTGAACTTTCGATCATGAAATTATTGAGTATCGCGTTATCATGTCAATTAAAGGTACCAGCCGTAGCCGAAAAGAGGACGACACGCATTGAAATGAAAGCACCACTACGAAGCGATCAGACTTCCCCAAACTCAAGTTTAATTCCGTTAAACGGTTTGATTAAAGCTAGCCAAGGCATCGATTCAGGCTTTTTTAGAGGCTTCCTTGAATTTGATTCAAGCTGAACCCAAAGTAGTGCTCTATTGCAAGTGGTACTCCTGCGCAACCCTCTGCCAAAACTGATTTTGTTGGATTGTCAACAAACACTGATCTTACCAAATTGATATCTTCATGATCAGTACCCTGATGACCGGAATATGAAAAATTCATCGATTTGAAACAGTTTAAATCTAATGATTTCACTACATCATTTTCTCAAAAATCGATTCGCTTGATACTTTCGATACTGATTCAAACCGTCGGCAAATCATGCTCCATTTCATGCTGGAACAGACTCGTCGTTTAATTGGAAAATTTCTTCGCTGCAGGACACGGGACAGTTGATCGCCATTTTATGTGAATTTGGCATATACATTAAGTGTTGCAGCTGGGATCGGTAGTTTACTTAATTATCCGATTGTCGTTTGCTTTTGGCGTCGTCATTTGAAAGCGATCATCAGTCAACAGGTTAGAACACCAAACATTAATTACACTCATTTTTATGACTTACAGCAATGAGGCATAATTCAGAAAACACTCTTTGAACGTCTGGAATAACAAGATAGAAAATGCATCGAGCACTTCTCATCTTATAATTCCAGACGCTACCAGAATAGAGATGCAAATCACGATCAGAACTTCGTGACTGGATCGATGTGGAGTTGCGAAGATCCGTTTAGAAAAACTTGAGGCGAAAAAGAAGAAGATCGGTGAGAATAGGTTGTCCACTGAATCAGTTGATTCTAGACCAACAAATAAAAATTGGTTCTCTTTTGATCAGATGGTTTCCTTCATCGCTTTGCAGATAACTGATGCAGAAAGTTTGGCTTTGTTCGTGAGCCGTCAACGTCAACTGACGATCACAATGGGTATCTCTGGTATATTCACGTTGATTCTTTATGTGATACCAGTATTTGTTGAAATCTTAACGATGCGTTCCATATGGATGTGGGATATCGATAATATTGCGGTGGCGTATGCTGTGATCAGTTCGAATCTGAATCCGATTTTCAACGTTGCTATTATTATGATGAAACAAGTAGATATTGCTGCTGCTGTGCGAAAAACACTTTGCATATTCTCGTGCAAAACAACGCGCACAATAATCGTTGCTACTCATCCCTGAATACTCGCCGAGTACCGCTTTTTTTTGAAATACCCATCAGGATGATGTCCATTTCAGCTCATATCTGAACTCAAGTTTAGGCTCACGCTTGAAAGGTAGATAAAACTTCAGCACTCTTAAATAACATGCCATCTGAGCTAAGCAGTTAGGTTGTCGATCATTGCAGATTTTCATCACTCATTTCTTTCATCTGCTCTTATATCTGCACGCTTTCTGTGCGATGAAGACGAAGAACATTGAAAAGAAGTCACAAATTCCTTTCTGTTGCTATAGAGTTGTCTTTGGTGAATGATTACCATGCAGATGTCGTATTTGTCGTATTTTGATTTTGTTCTCAGTGTTCAGAACTCAATTCGGTTTTTGCATTGGTAAGCAGATGCATTGGCAAGGAAATTTCCTGCTTCCCATGTGTGACCGGGAGCAGGAACTTCTGAGGACCCCGTCCCTCACATTTTTGAAGGCGATCGCATTTTCCCAAGAATCCTGATTCCCATGTAATTAATTACTATACAGTAATTCAGTGCGTTGTTTATTGCATTGTGAGCGTATGATAGAAATTGAAGTGGTTGGTATTGAGTAAATAAATATATGGATGTAAAGTGCCAATAATAATTTGTTAGCGAAGATGCAATGAGACGAGATGAACAGCAATAAATTCGAAACTATAGAAGAAATGACCTATGAACTGATGATAAAATGAAGTTGATGAATATAATACAAATAATTGCACCAAGCAACGCTTGAAGTTAATTGAAATTATGAATTTTGACTCATTGTCGCTCCAGATTTGCGTACCAAAACAAATGACAGCAGGAGCAATCTTGATAAGCTTATTTTGGAAATTTTCGTGTAGTTTACTTGGTGTGATTTGACGACAAATAAACCAACTGATAGTGAGCTAAGCGAGAATTGATTAGTGACGACTCGATGCGTGGATGGTTGTTCCACAGATTGGCTGAATCGTAGAGTTGTGATACTGATGTGATGCAATATGATTTGATGATTTGGTTAATGTTTGATGAGTGTACTCTTTGATCGAGTAGAGCAATTTGTTGGATATTGAATATCTTCTTATTAGGACGAGAAATAATATTTGGACAGTTGGTCCACTGACTTGCAAACGTTGGAATAATTAATTGATCAGCACTTGACACCAAGAACTGAACACAGAACAATTTACAAGAACTTGTAATACAGTTGAACTGAAATTCTACCGTTACAATCAACCTCAATTTACCGTGCATATCTTATATCTAAAACGTGACATCTGGCGTTCTCTTAAATGGATGAGGCAACTTTTAGATCCAGCACCTTAACGTCAGTTACGTTGCACTAAGCGATCCTTCGGTTTCTGCATAGTACAAAAGTGATTGCTCCGAATACAAAGTGCGGAAACGACAACATCGAATAATTGGATCCTATCGCCAAACGTATGGAACCAATCAAATTAACCGAATAAATGGCTGAGTCATACGATTGTTGTTTTCTCTAAACAATGCTCGAATTACTTAATGATTCCCGTTAATTCACACATGCATTAAGACGGTTGACATGTGAGCAGACAATCAATCATGACTTTTGTAATCGTGATGAATGCGCATTATCAAATGACTTTGAACGTGTCACCTTATCACGAGGCAAATCACACCACTAAATGGTGACATCCACTCAAATCGTCGACGTTGAAATGTTTCACGCCTCATAAATTAGGTTAACAATCGAATGGAATGAACGAGACTATAGTGGATGTGATATTGTAGTATCACGATAGTGTTATCACTCACACTTGTGAAACGTCAGATGGACGATGTGCATTAAAAACTGAATGTATTCATTCACCTGTTGAAGTGCTTTAAAATTTGAATGTATTAATTCACGTGCATCAGCGGGAAGAGGTAACTCGAACTGTGAAAGTTATTGTGTAAGTCTTAGCTGAAACACTTGACGATCAATGCTTCAATCGTCAATGATCATTCATAACTGGTGGATGAAGCAGATGCAGGTATTCTCGGTAGGAAACTCATATTCTTTTCTACAGTGTCTGATTATTATTTCAAATTGTATCCTGTGCTTGATGCCTTTTTTAATGATCGCTTCTTTTATTTTTGTTGAAGTTCGATCGGAATAAAGCCTTCAAAAAATTCTTATGCAGTAAGCTGAGTGTGATTAAAAAATATCACAGTAACTGGGATATTGGATGATATAAATGATAGCATAATTCCTTCAACTGGAAGCGTAATGATTCAAGTCACTTTATGTACATTGTTTAAAGTTAAAGCTATAAGCTGTTAAAGTGGTGCTTTCTATGTTAAAATTATTCACTGAAAATAAAGCCATTTTTTGCATCAGTCAAACTTTATGTACAATAATCGCAAGCTTTCTGGTGCCTCTTCAATAGCATGGATGACCATTTTGCGAATCATCCATCTAATATGCTTTCTTCGCTTTCATTTCGTTCTAAGCGATCGAAATATTTCACAGGACTGCTTTGGATCAATTCCACTGATTTGTGCCTTCGATGAAATTCATTATAAATATTGTTAAGTGGGCATCGAATTGGCCAATTCAGTCTGATTTCACAAAGGTTCATCTGCTTATTTAGACAGTTATCGTTATTATTAGATCACTGCTGTTATATGTTAATTGCATTGCTGTTATTTGTTGTTATTTGTATAATACTTGTCATTGATTACTGAAATAGGTATGATAAGAAACTTCGTGCGCTACATTTTGAACATTTTTTAAAAATCCACTCACTATCAGTGTAAATCACTCGGAACTTTTCAAAAAATGCTTGACCGCTGCATGCCATGACTTCGATTCGGTAAAGTACACTTAACCTGCAATTGAAACCCAAAATTTCCTTGTAATTGCACCGAAAATTTCTCATTGTCAGATATTTTCTCATTAAATACCTGGCCATCGCAGACACTTTCCTAGTTAATCAATAATAATCAACAATTCAAAAATTTCTATAATTTTTTCCTGATCTTGAAATCATTGTTTTTAAAAATCTGACAATTTTCGCAGAAATTTGTCGGGTAATGAAAAAACCGGACCAGATCGCAGATTCCTATTCGGTTCATTTGATTAATTAACGTAAGGACATTCGCGAGAAGAAAATTCCGAATTTGTTGCGCGTTATTACTATTTGTTCGTAAAGAACCGACTAGAAGTCACTCTATGCTGAGGTAGTCATGAAGGTGAAGCACTTAGCCGCTGGTTCGGGGACACGAAGACTGTCGCTCGTTCTTTTTCAATAATTAAAATAGTCAGGCACCAATGTAGCCTCCGAAACAGTATGTGGTGGGTTTGCCTTTATTCGAAATAAAACTTGCCAACAAGAATGATACTTTGTGATTCAGCAGCACTGGCAGAATGTGTCATAACAAATCTGATGAACATTCACTTGATCATTCGAAAGAAAGCAAGTGCAACGAAAAGTTTTCTGATGCAAGCATTCGCATCCGAGGTTCCTCATAATTATTAGATGTGTGGCCTCATAGCGATTAATCGCTTTCGCATTTTCAACGGAGGATTCTAAATTTCACTGCGATTTCACACGAGCGTGCGATCATTGATCATGCGAATGACGTTGCTGTTGGATGTTGCTTCTAGGTGCAATATCTTCATTTATATGTAACCTCCAACAATACTTCAGTTTGATTCATGTATCGGATGGTGTTCGAAGAAAATTCATTTGTGTCATTGACTGTGCACGAAAAACTTTATGGGTGGTAAAACTTTTGTGTTGATATTATTTCAGATTGCAATAATGAACAATTTATTGTATAACTGCAAGCGCTCAACGAATGCTCTAATTATTCTGATAATCAAACTTCAACTGATTTGCTCAAGAGCAGAGAGCGATTTCGAGAGTGATGAAGCAACTGGTGGCATGCACACGAGAACTACTCCAGGTCAGTTTCTCATGGGCATTTCGGAAACCACAGCGCTTTCAGAACATGAACTGAAAACAGCAAGTCGACGTAAATATACTCAAGTCAATTAGTTGCTGTACAATGATAACAAATTTGAGAGTCTCAAGACTTGAGATTATACAGTTTACTGGGCTCATGATGAACATGTTTCAAATATTGCTTGGAAGTGCTTGAAGATGATGCTATTTGACAAAGAAATATCAGGGAGAGATATCACTTCTGCCTGATTCAATACACGAAATATAAGAATACGAGTTAAACAGGGATCCTAGAAGTAGCAATAAGCAGCAAAATTCATTTAGTTTTCTGTAATTTTGAGCATTTCTTGTAGTTAGGATAAGTGCGTTACGCTGCTGTTCCATGAAGTGAAGAAACTACGCAATAGTTAAGCGAATATATATTTGAATTTCAAAGCAGTGATGAGAAAAGTTTACTGAAACTAGGAAAGATGGTGGTTGAAAAGGTCATTTGAAAATTTCATGAAATTCTTCTGGTGCTGAGTGTTCCGCCTGATTTTAGTTATGGATCGAGTTGCGTTGAATCTGGCCGATGCTTTCATAAAATCGATATTTCCCGAACTCGAAGAAACCACCGCTATGAGTGCACAAATACCCCAAGAGATCCGCCGTTCACCAACACACGACAGCAATATATTCGGCTTAACAAACGTCGGAAGAAGCGGTGCATATTCGTGTAAGGCAAATATCGAAGATCGAAAAACTTTTAGTTGTACTGATCACAAAAATCCTGATCAAAAAAAGTTCTATGTTTCGCTATAAGTTAATCAGCAGTTCGCTTTTGATAGTCGTCGCACTTTCCAAAAATGCCGTCATTACCACTGCAACTTTTCATGCAATTGTAGCGATCAAAAATAAAACTTTCAGCCATACTGAACGCAAAATTTGATCCTGAATACGATGGAATGAATCAACAAATACAATCTGAAACAATGGAGGATTCGGCGCAGCCATCACCCCTAGAAAGTATTCATTTTTTCACAATAATTTTTAGCGGAGCCATCTATTCCTGGTTCCATTAGATCGTGGATCCATGTTCCAATCGTACCAAATCTACAAATGTTCAGTTTACAAAGTCCCCAATGATCAGTGTCACGCAAGCAGCTAGTCATAAAGAAACATCNTTGTTTTACTTGAAAACGCTGTCAAAACTACGCATCAGTGACCGTCGAATTGATGAAGATTGATCATATTTGCCATTGTAAATCATTTCTTTTGGCCACACGTTTCAATTCGACGTGAAATTGTTTGGGTGCGTTCGTCTGAGAAGTGGTTCATAGCAACGGAGAACTACTAAAAGGAAGGAAATATCACTGCTGGCCACTTCAGCAGTTGGAAAATATCTTCTGATTAATGTGAAACATCTGTTTCAGATATACTCACATCAATGCTAGTCGCGCAGCCACCGTTCGATGACGAAAAGTCGATAGCCTCTACGGTTTGAAAAATTTCATCTTAAAGACTTAAATTGAACCTTATTATCCCGAGCTTTGGTAAAATCATTGAAAAATAGGTTGGCAGGTGAAGCGAACGGATTGTTCAAAATTATTGGCAATGAAAATTTTCCAAAGGCACGCCAGTCATCTGGTCCTTTATACTGACGTTTATATGCTGTGAATTGAAATATTTGATCGGGATAAATGAATTAGCATTGATGGTTTGAAAATTTTTGCTTAATTCGATGAAATTTCTAAAATGAAGATAGCACGGTTTAAGGATGACGTTGACGAAATAAATGAAGCTCGTTCGAGCAAATATCTGGCTGATTTACGGCGGAATCAACGCGAACTTGATGAATACACAGATCAGCAAATGCGACACTTAGATGAGCAACTTCGTTATCAGCAAGCACTAATCAATGAACGAGCGAGTGCAGTCGTGGGTTGTTTTCCGATATTTCTTGAACACTGAATAAGATGCACACTGGAAGAGCTTTTTGATGTTGAAAATTTCGATATGAAGATTGACAAAAAAACTTCACGAGAGTGGAAATTAATTTGGGATCGCACTTGGTCAGAAAAAATCACACTCTTTACAGGCTGTCTTATGAATTTCATAGGGCTGATTCTAACGTACATAAATTCTCGAAGCGTCTTAATGATATCCTCACAATCATGCAGCAGACACTTCACTCACTCCAATTTTTATCGCTCCCCTCATTTAACAATGCAACTGAAAGTTCGTGTTTGTCGCAATGAATCAATTGCAGCTGGCAATGCGACGTCATCACGCAAAACTGATCAAGAAACGAATGCATTTGGTCGCTCGACAACGAGTTCGTGCCGAACAAAACATCGAAGATGCTGGAACTGATGACGAGTATACTGAAGAGGATATTGATACACTGGATTCAGATGCAAACGAGGAGTATGATGATAGAAGCAATGGAAACGATTACGTTGTTGATGAGAGCAACGATGGTGTGCAGCTCACTGATGAAAGTTATGACGACAGCGACACCAGTCGGAATGGGGGTGGTGGAGTTGATGGAAGACGGAAGAAGACAAGAAAATCATCTCAGAGGCCAGGGCCATTTCAAGTAAAAGCTCGAACTGAAGCTTCGCTGTCGATGCGCGAGGAAGGAACAGACCCACTACCACGATCCTCCCAACGGTATTAATTGAACGTCCGTGAGAATCGAACAAGTCTTAAAAACAATTCGATTGAAAGATTTTTAGCGTAAGCTGATGGTTGACTAATCTGGACTTCCTGGACCATTGAGCTCCAATTAAGCATCAGCTTGCTTTTGTAGCAATGGTTTCAAGCAATTCTTTAGCTGCTAACTTCTGCTCCGTTAGATCGCGCATAGCACTGATCCAACATCCAAAATTTGCTGGTTGTGCCGCGCGAGATTTTTAGATGAGAATTGTTCCAAGATTGTCCAACGTTGTAGTTCGGGATTTGCACAACGTTTTGGCATGTGATTATCAAAATTTGCAAAGAGCAAACATTGTTAAAATGTCTCATCAATGACCGCTAAAACTTGATGCAATTTGGAATGAGTTTTCTTATATTCCAATTAATTTCATTCATTTTTCGGTCAGTCATCAATTTTTTGTTGCGGATGGAATTTATTTGGAAATTGTATCTGTTATCATTTTATTGCAGTGCAATGGGTCAAAAACAACACAGAAATTACGGCCTAAAGCAACACCTGAACCTCAGCCCTCCGCGTATTTTCGAGCAGATTTGCACAGCGTGTGAAGCTGTTGATTTGCGCAAGCTTCAAGGATCGTGGACTCAAGTAATCAAGCTAATTCAGTCTTGATTCTTTTGATCGATTGATTGCTTATACGATGATGTTCAAGGAAACTTCCTACTGATTCAGTCATTTGCACTTACGAAATTTTTTATTTCAGGACCAAAATGTTATTTTCCTGGTTTCGCTTCTGTAAACTGTACTTTTGATTTTCGTGGAAAGAAACACGCTTGAGCATCGAAGTATAGATAGTTAAGATGAAGGCTGGTTCACTGAGTTTAGAAATGTCGAGAATGAAAAGTATTGCTCGTGTGAGTTTCATGATTCAATGAAATTAATTCATCTGTCATTTACAGATCTACGGCAATTCGAAGGTGCTTCATCAAAGATTTTCACCTATTTTGAGCCTGGAATCGTTGAGGCCGCAACAGGTGGACACCGAGACCACAACAACAAACAATATGACAACAACAGAGACAAGTTGCGTTGGAATCAATAGTAAGCGATTCAGTTCCATGATTAGTTTGGTGGTCAAACAACGGTTCAACAGATCGAATTCACAGAACTCGATAGAATGGAAAACTAATGAGTAGCCTTGATGAGCACTGAAGTCACTTGAATTTAACTCAAGTCATAGAAGCGTTTTCAGTATATACGATGAATTTTGAACTGTTGAAAGTACAGCCGATTCTTGATTTTAATCGGACATTGAATAAAGGTTTTTTGAGTAGATTGAAAAGCAATGGAGTCAATTATCCTGGTTATGGTAAGCATTCTCTGTAAACCCATCAATGACGAACTGAACTCATTCCACGAGACTACTTCAGTTTCTGAGAAATATTTGCCGTCTATTAGGCCGCAATAGTATTTGCATTTTGAAATCGAGAACATGCTTTATTCAGTTGAGAAATCGAACAGTAATCGACGCGCACGAGTGAAACTCATTTTCGGCGATGACCCAACCGGTCTTCGAATGCATCAGGTTCCTTTATTTAGCTTTACTTCTGGAGTTCCATTAGTTTCACATACAATGCATGTGCATCTTCTTTGAAAACAGTTTAATGTGTTCGCATACACTCAATTAAGTTCAATCTCCTAAAAATATAACAGACACATTGAAAGCAACATTTGGTACACTCTGGATAAGATAAGCAGGCTGAACTTATTTAGATGAATGGAACGGTCGTCGTTAATGAGCATGGGTCGATGCGATTAGAACTGAGCAATGTGGTTGTTCCAGGTTTCGTTATTGAGCAAATTTTATTCGCTCATCTGTTCGAGTGTTTGCCAACCGATTATTGAATCCTTCTCTTGAGACTGATACATTTGATTCGCTCACGATCAGTATCCGAACTCGTATCCGAACTCGACAAATCAAGTTTCTGCTGCGTTAACCCGAAATGATCATGACTTGTCTCTGTTTGTCGGGACACTTCATAACGGTGCATGAAACAATAAACTTAAACGACTAAAAACTGGCGCTTGTTGTCCTTAAAGTAGTGACTGATATAAAATAGCACTGGAAGAGAGCAAACTACCGGGCGCATCACTTATCATTGCTTTGCTGTGTGATGCAAAAGTTTCGTGCTGATCGAATTGTAATCAGAATTTTGTGCAGAAATTCGCTTGCTCACCTCTGGCTGAAAGGAACTTCTTTAGAACACCTTACGATCAGTTCATTGAACGCGATTTCCATCTGCATTTACCATACGCTGGTTAAAGCAAACATCAGATTGTCTTTCAGTTTGTTTAGTCAAAGCTGGACCTGAGAATCGGCACTTCTATGAATACATAATACTGGCTGAAACTAATGGTCAGCAAAGATGTCGAACATATCATATATTTGCGCGAAACATCGACAAATTCTACAAGGCTCATTTTAAAACCATCGCAGCATTCATGAACAATGTATGGTGTTTTTGCTTTGTTGAGCTAAATCGTTCACAGTAGTTAAATCCGCTGGGATTCCAGTTTTTTAGTGCACATAGAAACGTTTATACCGCTCCGATTACGGCAATTTTCATCAACATTGTGCGCAACGAAGAAATATTGAGGCTGAGAACGCAACAGTGAAATAGTTCTTGAGTAGGCTCAGAGTGTGTAACATAGCAAGCCATAGGGATTAATTGAATAAATTCGGTGATACTTAGTTATGAATAAGAATGATTTGCGACGTATGAATTTTTTTTTCTTTCAGAAAGTGCGAAATGAAGGCGTCTTGCGGTTGAGTGCACTATCAAAGCCAACGCTTTGTCAGTACAACGATTGACAGCGAATTATCTTCCCAATGGAATGAAAGTATTGTCGTTCCCTCATTGATATCGTTCCCATTTGATCTTAAAACTGACCTCATTGCAGTACGTAATAATTCAATGAGTTTTTGAAATTGTTTCAAACTGGAGCGTTCTTTTGTGTTCTCAAATTGCACATCTGGTGGTTCAGCTGGAAAGCAGAAGAACCGTGGATGATCAGTTTTCGAGCCAAGTGAATGTATAATTACGAATTGCTATGTACTGTATCAGCGCTTAAGGCAAGGCCCAGTAATATTTCATCGAAAAGTGCGGATTATTGCAGACTTATCTACTTAACTATATTTTTCGCAAACCGCATGAATGAATTTCGCTAGGTACAAAAGTGTTTTCCTGCCGATTCTAGGCGTACTTTTCCGTAACTTCCGGAACCGGTACAGTGCTATACTGTGCGTGATCTCCCGGAAACTTTCATAAGCCGTAATGCATTGCACTTTGCATTTCTCATTTTTTGTGCAATTATCTAGAGCAGTGGTTCTCATAGGGGGTGAAATTACTCGTTTTGGAAAATTTGAGGGTGTCGGGGCATGGGGGGGGGGGAAGGGGCTAGTAGAGAAAGTCAGGAAATTAGTTGTGATGGTATTTTTTTGCTTGGGTATGTAAATGCGATTGGTTCATGGCAATACTCTTGTTTCTCCTATTTTCTGGGCATCTCCAGCTCGCGTAGGCCTGAACAAATGTCAATCTGAAGTAGTCAAAATTATTTCGTGGTTTCTTTAACATATTGGCTTACATCGTCTTTCATGAGCATTAAGAATTGATTGAGCTGATTGGTAGGACAAGTAAGGTCATTGGTTTGGTGCGAAACGATCCAGCATTTCTGATTTTTCAGACTTTATGCACACGTCACATCTCAAAACCCTCGATAGTTCGGATTTATTTTCACTCCTCCGATGAATTTATGCTTATTCATTAACCATTACATTGATGAAATAACTGCTTTTCCGTTCATCTCGAAAATAATTTCTCAAATGTTCATTGCATCTTCCTTCTTCATGAGTAATTGAACTCGTTGTTAAAATTCTTTTTATAATCGCTGAAGAATGTTTTTTTTTNTTTTTTTTTCATTGCTTTTCGCTTTTGATTGCCAAGGTTCCAGTTGTTCCTACAATGGATAAATAAAGTTCTAAAAATACTTGCTTCATTCCAGAAAATTAATTTCTTTCATGCCACTGAGGAAATTCCGGACCGGTTTTCCTTTTGTTCCTGATGTTATACATGGAAGTAGTAAAGATCGGGAAATTAGATCGTAGATGTAGAAACAGTAAATTATTGTAGCTGGAGGAGGGGGGGGGGCGGGGGGTACGACCTTCCAGACCATCGAAGGGGTAATGGAGCGTCTGAATTTGGAACCACTGGTATAAAAGAACAATGCAGCCCTTTGTTACAACTGGAGATACTACATGAAAGAAGTGTATCCGACGATCCCTTGCCTGCCGACTTATGTTCTTGAGAACGTTGAGTCATCTCCTCCAGTCGTACTTTCATAAAATTGGCTTTCATCAAACACATTCATCGCTCTTCAAATGTTCACTATCTTCGTTCGAGAGTGATTCATCTTTATGTTTCCGTTCCTTTATGTTATCAGTTCGTTTTGCCGAGAAAATTATTGCTGAGCGTTTCGTGCAATTGCGATCATTAAACGAGCTGAATCAAGTACTGGTTTTATTTACATTCAATTACATTGTCACACTGCTCTCGTTTATTCAAGTGAGCTTATTTCAAACACTCTTGTTGCAGCAGTGATCACTCACACTCAAAACTCTCTGATCAAAATTTTGTTTGTTAGCATTTTTGTTGCATGCATCGAATTCTATTCCTGCTTCAGAATTTTACCAACCGGATCAAAGATAGTTGAGCGCACCATTTCATGAGTCTTTATGAAACTCAGTTATCGTTATTTTCTATGAGCTTTCTTTGAAGCTTTCTTCAAAAAAACCTGAGCTAACGTCATTTCGTAGGAGGGTTTCAGTTTCATTGAAAACGATATGGAACTACCATTCGTCTATACAATCCCAGGAGATTGGAGAGATTAAAGAATGAATTTTTTTAAAATTAATTTATAGTAGGAGAAATGGCAGGTGTTTCTGTAACGATCGACAATTCTGGTGCAATTGTTTATGGGTCCATTTACGTCAAACTTGGACAATTGAACCTTAGAGTAGCGTAATAAATTCACGAATTCACAGAGTTAAATGTTAATGATAATGATAATATTAATGTGGTACTAATAATTTCTACTTGAAATAATAGCAGTTGCAGCAACAGCATTAACGGTAATGTTTGCAATTAAGATTGCGATAAAGCGAAAACCATTCAAAATGAATATTATCGGGCCTAATGATTTGTTAATTCAAACACGGCTTTCAATTCATTAGTTCAAACACGGGCTTTCAATTCATTAGCTCAAACACGGCTTTCAATTCATTAATTCAAACACGGCTTTCAATTCATTAATTCAAACACGGCTTTCAATGAACTGGGCCGATAACGGACAGATTTTGCATGGTTACTTGCATTCATAAAGAGACAAAAAAGTACGGAATGAGCTAAGGCTCATTCATCCCACTCATCCGCATGTGTGCATTGCGAAAGGATTTCTTCGTCTAATGTCTGCTAGATCTCTATCCCATGCAGTTCAGTTCTTTCTTACATGTTATTCAAAATTTTATGATTCATCATTTTCCAATTTTTCTCGCGACTCACTAGTCTCGACAGTTTCAAAGTAGTTGTCAGTTGATGTTCTGTTCCCCCCCCCCCCCCCCCCACANTCCCCCCCCCCCCCCAAAAAAAAAAGAAAAGAAATTACATTTAGTGATTATGATCCGCACACCTTCAGAAGACGTTCGCGAAATATCGCTTCATTTCAACATTGTGTGCAATCGCCCAATTTGATTCGAAAAGAATTTATTCGCTTGCCACATCACCTGTTGCGGAAACAAATATTCAGCGCTGTGTAAAACAATTCGTATATGTCTGCTCATTCTTATTGAACAAACAAATCATTCATTCACGACTCGAATTTAAACGACTCGAATAATCATTCATTCACTAAAATTTGAACGTTTTTGATGTTTTTGATGATAAAATTCTTATCTCGTTTTAATTTAGGAATCACTTTCTGGATTAAAACTTCGACTTCAATACCTCCATATTCTCACTGAGAAGTGATGCGCGCAGAACTACAAGCGAGTCGTTTCCTACCGTTCCAGATCGTTTAAAATTTCCATCGTTGTAGCAGTTGATAAGCGAACATGAATGTTTCTTATCAACAGAATGCTCAAATCGCATAAAATTTTCAGTGATAAACTTTTCGTTTTCTGCTCACTGTGTCTCGTCACTTATTGATTCATTCTTGTTTGAATGTTCCTCATTATCATGATTCGTTTCTCGTTATCACGAATCGCTTCCATTCACCAAACTTTTGTGTTTACTAGAAATCCAATGTGAACTGCACATTGTGCAAGCATTACATTACAAAAATGATTAAACATTAACTTGTTATTACAAACTTGCCGTTTTATTGTCGAACGTTTTTGACTTCTGGTGATTCAGCGAGGCCCTTTCAAGGATTAATTAACTGATTAAGTTAATCAAACTACTCAGTCGAAGTTTACGAACGAATTCAAGCGATGGATATGAACTGTACAATTGATGTTGAGCCTTTTGCATTGAATGCTACATGGGAATTATTAAATGTAAGCTTTCAATCGAGTACATTGAATTTTTTTCCGATCAATAAAGATGAATCGCATCCCTTTAGTGAAAGCTCCAATCATACAGTCCGTTGAATCATCCTTGCATGCTGATTGAATCAATGTGTGAAGGACAATCAAACTAGAATACGGGAAGTTCAGTGCATTGTTTGCAAGTGTAACAATTTCTTTGGAATATCCTATTCATTCGTTGACTTGATGAGGTTGCAATGCTTCTGCATTCAGTAGATATTGAAGATAGTAACTGATTAAACACACTGCTAGCTATGAGTTGTCGTTCTCAAAACCGTTTGTTAAGAACTATCGGACATACGGACGGGTACAGGCAGATTACGAAGACATGGGCAGTTAAATAAGACTGAAAGGTTCAGATAGCCTTCTCATCTTCCCAAGCAATAGAGGTGATTGGTGCATGAATTTATACCTGCTAACTCTTTGCAGTCTGTCACTTTTGGGGCGGATCTGTCAATGATGTGACTGAATATTCCTTACAGAATGATGACAGCCCAAATTGGACAATCAACTTACTGGTATCTGCTTCAGTCATTCTCATCGCATTATCCTCAATCACCGTTATTCTTTTCACTGTATATCGACATTGGAAAATGAGCGCAAAATCTTCACATCAATACACAGCTCCAATTACTCATACTGCTTTTATGTCACGTAATGGTAAATCAGCCTTCATTGTTGATTTTGAAAAGTGATTCTTTTTGAATAATCCAATAAAGAAACAGTCTCTTGATGACACTGCTGCTTTTCTCAGTGAATAAAGCGGAAATCACGTTTTTAAGATAAATTCAGAAAAGCTATCTTCAGTAGGAAAACAAGGTTATGATCCAGCGAAAAATTTCAAATCAATGAATTTCAGAGCGTAGACAGCAGTGGAATTCAGAGTCACCACCTTATCAGGATACGTGTTCTTATTCGAATAAGAATTACATTCATCATGAATTCATGCCATGATTGACTAATGTACGTGGCTATCGCATTTCTTCCAGGTAGAATGGTATGTCATTAAAGTTCCCTGTGTTTCTCAAAGTCTTCAGTTCACAAGATAAACCGCCGGAGAATCTATCATTGTTTTGAGTGAGTTCAGCCAACATCAAACCTATGTCTGAGCCCGAATCTATGCGTGAGAGTTACTCGAAACTGAATCAGACCCCCAAATGCGCCGTTTCATATATTTCTAAGACGGCCAACCCATCAAATTCATTAGATTTTACAGCTGACAGCAAATCTTTTGCATCCAGATCCATTGAAACTAACTACCACCTTGTTTATTTTCAAGTTCGCTCAGTTGGATTACAAGTACTCCCCCAAAAAAAAGATAGTCCGTTGTTTAAAACTACAAATATGTGGCTCAGTGCAGGGTCAACAGTATTCGCAGTGTTCTCATAATTTGAACTGGAACCAAACCAATTCCTGTATCGATGTCCTCTGTCTCAGCCTGAATGTGCTTGATTCTAGCAGTTGAACATTTTCAGGGGCGCCGTCATCCCTCCGATATCGTACTTCGGGTATATTATGAAGGTTGAACAAACAGAACATACAAATCAGCATCGAATTGCAATGCGATGTCACTTTTAAAAGCCTATTCAAAATTTCAGTCGAACAGATTAATCGGTAAACTCAGTCAGTGATTTACCGCTGCTCTGCAAAAGTATCAGCAAATGTGTTTTTGCGATAGCTGTTTTTCGAGTTTTGTTCCACTGTAAATACGGGTTTACCATGCGAGATTTGAGTGCCTATTCGTCATTTCACATATCGCATCGCATTGAACAGAGACTTTCTGTGAATTTCAACAATGAATCACAACTACATTCGCAAGAGTTGCTCATTGCCAGCTGATTTGTAGGAGTGAAAATGGAAACAAGAGTCTTATGAGAAGATATTAACAGATAGACTGGCTAAGAGCAATCCAGTAAGTCTGTAACGTCCCACATGATTAGTAAATTATATTAATCGCGCACTACCTTGACCCTTTCCTCAAGCCATCACGTCGTGGCGTAGAGCACTCGCTATTCACGAATCGTTTTTCAGCGAAGTTTAAGAAAACAGCCAACCCGAAGAAGTCGAACGCGGTCTGCGTTTAGGTCTTCGATACATTTCACGAGGGATCTTCTCAATTTTATTTGCAAATGACCTAGAGCTCAAGTGCGTTTTCCTCATGGAAATATATTCCGAGTTTTTGTTGCAGTGCTCTGGAAGCTTATTGAATGTTTCTTCAAATATGTGTTTCAAGATGAAGATGTATGGAACGGAATCAGTACTAAAACCGCTGGTTTCTAAATTCACGTGTTCGAACTAATGTTCGTCGATGAGCAGTTTATTCGGACGGGGGTCCCCACGGAGAGAAAACTGGACGGTGGGAGGGGGTCCCCGCAAAAAGTCGGGGAGCAAATTGTGCAGGGGGAGGGAGCGCTCCCCGCGTTCCCCGACGAACGCTCGTTCAAACTGTATCCTCCACCGAGCAGATTTCCCCAGATATCAAGATCATTTCACACCTAACTGTTTTCTCCAATCGTATGAGACATTTGTCCGGAGACTATTCGAGTAAACAATAAAATCACTCGATTTGAATATTCATGTGTGACTGAATTCAGTGTTAGGTATTTCAGAACATACGTAATAATATTGCTTTTCGTTCGAAGTCCTACGGTGAACTCCATTCTTCCTTATATATATTCTTGTTCATTTAATGCAAGATTTCGAACAATAAACTTCTTTTCTCTTTCCCATACACTCACGATCAGTTGCATCGTCACCACAGAGCTTGAAACGTGAACGCTGATTAATGTATTCAGTTAACAAAATTATCACATGTGTGTTCAATTAGCAAATTAATTATCACATTCAATTTGCAAAATTATCAAGTTGGGAATTGAAAACATGGGAATATTGTCTTTTTCTTGGAAAGTTTTCATTGGAAAGTGGAATTGAAATTAATATTGAGTCAAGAATGACTTCTGACAGTGATCATCGCAACAGCAGCGTAAACTATTACCGAAACCGAGAAAATTATTACGACCGTTTCTGCTACCCATTTGACTTTATCCCGAAATGACGACGATACCACACTGAATAGGTTGCGCATCCTCTTTCGATAACGTTCTCCGTTCACTTCAGAAAATGTTCAGTTCTGAGCACTAAATTAGATGAGAATGCTTAAAATCATTCCTACCATTACAACTTCAAACGTCGATCTTAAGTTTACATCAGTAACAACAACTTTGGACCTCATATCTTTGATAAATGAATCGTCGATCAACATTCTATCCACATTGTCATTTAAGACATTGAGAAACCCTAACTTGCGCCTCATCCGAACCCGTCATGAAAAAAGATATTTTTGAAATAATTCGGCGCAGATCACAAAATTAAATCCCAAAATTCTCAGATGGCTCGAAGTTGTCCAATAATAGGCAAAATTGAAGTCGCACAGTTCGGACAATGAAAGAATTTGTCTAGAAGCTTTCGATCATTTTTTCCACAATAACTCTGCAACATCTGGATTAAAGCATGCCTCACCCAACAATATTTTCAAAAAATCGCAACATTTAGTGCTCACCTGACTGAAAATGATGGAAGGTTAAAATTTTTCTTCCGAAAACAACGCTTCAATTCTTAAAACATGTGAAACATTCGGAAGTAAAATGTGGTAAACTGAATTAAACCAGTAGCATGTAGCTGAGCCGAAAAGAAAAAATATATAGACTGTGAAGTTCTTCGAGGGAAAACAGGAATTTTTGTTTTTCGATAGCAACTTCTTTGCACAATGCTTATCGAAGCGAAACAACAGTTTGGGAATTGTTTTATCATTGACTATGGTGTCACATAAGTCTTTTGATCATCAGAAAATTGGATGCTCTGAGAAAATGCGTTTTCAACAATTACTTTTTTGTAGGAAGAACGTTCTGAAAGAACATCAATTGTGAGGACTACAAGCGAGCGAGTCACGTTATTTTCAGTGCTAAAGCGTCAACTTCACCAAATGTGAGCTCAGTAGGATGCGTTCGTAAATTTTGGATGCCATAAGTAGTTGGGTTCGAAATTTATCCCGAAAATGAAAGCGAAGTTGAATATGCGAAGTTGAGCTAGGAAGCTCAACCGAAAGCGGTCGACCTTCATTTTATAGGTCGCGTTGCCTTGGAACGGTCAACGTGACCTATAAAATAAAAGCCGAGTACTTCTGAGCTTAAGTCTGTGGAGCCAAACCGACAGTGAAAGCTAAAAGCCAAAGGCTCTCCGTTACTTAACACGAACACTAATTTTCAATCTTCAAAAATTGAGTAAATATGTGGAGGAACGAGTGAATGGAACGAAAAACAGTCGAAAATAGTAATACTGAAATGGCTTAATCAGAATATCAAATTCCCTCTTGATTGAAATCGACCAGCAATTTGATCCAAGATGAAGTCTACTTTGCGCTTCATGCAAGCAATTCCTTCATATTTTACGTTCAATGTCAATAAAATTAGGAAGATCACGCTGAGAATCGATACCAGAAAGTTGTTCATTGAATAATATAATTGTAGAAAGTGGTCACTTATATTTCATAGTCATAGTTTATGGCTTCTACTATGGAATGTAACTCATTATTGAATGTGTTTACTGTTGTTGTCCACTTATATAATAAGTAACGGTTGCGAACAAACACAAGCTTCTCGTTCATCACGGAATATCATTTTACAATCGTATCCTCTCTTATAAATTTCTACATTGACAACTATTTCCTTCAGTCTTGAAATCTGTTCCTTTTGTAACATTCGATCCACCATTTGCTCAATTACCTTCGAGACAATGATTAAAACAGTTATATTGTGAACTTAACATACTTCATGCAATTTTGTTAATGTTATCTTCATATTCAAAATATACATCAAAATGTTCCACTTTCAAGTATTTATTTAATAATGGATTCAGTTTACAGTAGCTTATTCAATATTTCCTTCACCCAGACAATGCATATCCATCATTTATTCGTTATGAATTGAAATGCGTACAATATACAGAAGCATTAAAAGTATCCTGCAATTGTTCTCTTAAAGATTCACCGAGCTAAGATTGATTGATCCGATCTCCCGTCCTCCAAACGGGCCAATACCGAATCCTCTCACGCTGTAGTATCCATTCGGTGTGAAGCCTCCGAATCCTGGACTGAAATAATTGTAGTAACCACCCCACTGCCGCTTCACTCGTGATCTGAAACACACATGCATTCATGTGTTTACATGTTCCATTGATGTATTACACGTGCTATTTTAAAATGTTCATGTGTTTCAGAGACAGCTTATCATTTAATTTCTGTCCCGAAATGCATTCGGTGAAACTTTTTTGTGGTGAGCAACTTTGTAGAAACCAGTTCAGTGTTTAGTGTTATTTTGTTATAAAAATTGGTTTCTGAGTGAAAGTATTGATAAAATGTGGGGAACGGTAGAATTTTAAAAGATTATTTCCGATAAGATTATTTACGATGAAATATTCGTCACTGAAAATTTAACGGCTTAGATTAGCTATGCACCGAGACTCAGCATGATATTAAAGAAATTAGACAAATACCGATTTATCTTCCATGCAAAATCATCAAATTTCGATTTCTCCTCAAGTTTCCAGTTCACGTACTCAATCACAATTGAGTTGAAATTAAACTCTATAGCTGATATTTGTTATTCGTGAACCCATTTGACAAATCTATCGCATAAGCGAAAGCAAATTTTTTACACCTGATTTCTTATATTGAATTATTTTTGACAAGATTCATTGACTCTCTAGCCATATCCACATGATTATTGGAATTCAACACAAATAGAAAAAACGATGAATGCAATGGTTGTTCTGATTCAATTGAAACTGAACTAATCTTAAAGTTAAAGCATCAACAAAGCTAATTTAAAGTATTATTACGAGGCGGACCAGGTTTACTAAAAATATCGTCTATCAATCTACTTTAATTCTTCTCTCTAGATGTCAGTTATCACTATCAATAAACTACAATGAATTGTACAGGAGTATACAATATCACAGATAGTGCGTATGTTCGAGAATAGGTTACCTGCTCAGCAATGTTGACGGATCGGTGTTGTCGGGGGCGTAGAGTGGTGCAGCCGAGATAAGAGCGAAAATTTGCATGAAAAAGAGAACTACCAGAAGAACTGATCTGGTTGGCCACATTTCGTTGAGATACTGAAATTGTTTTCGAGGTGACGGATTGAAGAAGGGTTCTTTCGATTAGCACATAAGAATCCAATAAATTGCGGAGTATGGAAATAATTGACGAGCGAATTTTCATCTCAATGCACGAAACTTGTTGTAACTGGTTCTTATCACCGAAAAAGTATCATAAGTATGGATAGCAAATAGAAAAAATTTTTATGGATAGCAAACAGAAATAGGATGGTAGTTCAATAAGTTATTACTGCGTCTCATTAACGATCGGAACATAAGACTTGACCAAAACGGTCTCGGAGCATTATTCACCCAATCAAAAGGTGGATGTGCAAAGCTTTGAAAATGCATCCTACAAGACGATTGCCATATGATGCTGTGTTTAAGACTGCGAAGAATTTGTTATGATAATTTCTGCTATGTTTACTGACAAATGCGAAAATCTTACGGATACTTTAAATTTCAACGCAATAAGCAGTGAGGAGAGTTTAAAGAAACCTCTCTAAAAAGCACAACGGAAAATCAGGGAATGAGAACTCTGAACATAAAACTACGTTCATTACACATTCACTTTCAAACATATTCACAAGCTTTCGAAAAGTTTTGAACGTCGAAATATATCACATCAAACATATGATATCGGTTAAGATCTAATGAACTGATATTTCGCTCTACCTCAAAATCGGATTCCTATTAGGAAATAGGAAGGGACCACATTAAATGATAAATATCGAGGCAACAGAGCGTCGAAAAAGAACGCAAAATAAACGATTGTTCAACGAAACCGTTTCTAGAAGATGATGAAAACGACGATTCAGTAGACGTTATTCGAAGCAATCACCATTGACATATGAGTGACGATCGAACCAACACATTGGTGTTCAATCGTTTCATCAACAGACTGATTTCGACTATTTCTATGCTACTGAAGAGGTTTTTTTCGGCAATTCGTTAAATGATACGTAAAGTGTCGTCACTTTCAACCAACTTCGAAATAACAATGTGCGCAGTTGACCTGCTCACTCGCTGTTCGAAGAGCACAGCGAAACAGACAACTGCACTGAACTTCTTGAACATCAAAAGTTTTCAATCGCATAACATAGCGATTAACTTCTTTATGAAGTGAANGTCATTGGTCGTGTTATCCGATTCTGATTTGCTAAGAATATTGTACAGTGCAAAAGGATTGCGTCATTATTAATAAATTAACCGTAGAACCGGTTTTGACAAAGTCGCAAATTGTCATTATACGAAGTTGAAGTTCTTTCAACGCATCCATTATTGTGTTGTTTTGGTCGTGTCGATATCCGAATATTCAGAGCATACTCAATTGGATGTAAGGCTTGAAATGTTTTCTACTTTATTCAATTTTTATCAAAACACAGAAACTTCGTTGACGATGAATGATACGAGTTAACGAAACAATAACGAATCATATTCCAATAGAGACCATAATCAGTGCTCGTTAAGAAACGGAGAGCAATTCCCCTATAATTTTGGTCCCTCCAGCCCCCACCCCCCCACCTCCCACCGGATGAAATATTCCTGTCTTTGACTTTTTTGTTGGGTCTCCTCTCGGCGTAATGAACACGCTACCTCATTTTTATTGAAAGCTGGAGTCGGAAGTGCATTCTTAATTGATCATGTTTTTCATTTCCTTTGGTGACTGCATATCGATAGGAAAAATTTTCTTTTAAATTGCTTTGAACTGCTTTCCATCCTTCTAGCGTGAACCCCTTTCATGGTCAATTCGCACCCCAACATTTTTCTTGGTTCCTTCCGGCTATTTGCTCACCAACGATGCTTACTCCCATCCCCTCCCCAGGCTAAAAAGTTGCTTCTCAACGAACACTAATTACATTACATTATCAACATTAACATTATCAACATTATTCAAACATATCATTCACACACGCGCGTCTAATATCTAATGCATCTAATTTTTAATGAGGTGCACTCCATCAAAACGAACAATCAT